CAGTCTTTTTGAAGAACTCCCATTTCTGTGTTGTGTTCATTGACGCCAATATTCTCTCCCAGTCTAAGTCATGGAGAGCAGCTCTCAGCCTTGGAAAATTAGCTCTCTTAAAGTTGAGCATTTTTATTTTTCCCGTATATGCTCGCTGTTTACAGCTAACAATAAATTAAATCATGTTATGGTCACTGCTACCCAGATGTTCTTTTATTTGGACATTCATAATAAGCTCTGCATGGTTTGAGATTACCAGGTCCAGTGCAGCATCATTCTGTACCATAAAATTGTCCTGTAGTAGGTTTGAAAATGTTTGCTCTTTAACTGTTCCTGTAGTACCATTACTCCACTGTTGAAGACATTTTGTAGCTTACCAAGCCAATTCTAGAGTGGCAGGAAGATAGCCCAGCATTTATTTTCACACCTTAGGACACCTTATACTAGTGGAATTGCATCAACAATGCATGTACATGAATTTTAGAGGTATTTTTGACACTTTGTGGCCATAACAATGGGGTTTCTTCTCTAGACAAACAAGATATTGTTTGTCATTGGCCAACACAAAAAACTTATAAAAACCTATCAAATACATGGAGTACTACCCCCTCAGGGGCTGCTGAGTTTTTGGGTCCCCCTATAGTCCTGCATAGCCAGGCAACACGCCTTTTCTTTAAACACTTGCACACTGGAGACAATAATCAGTCCTCAAGCTTGTTTTTTTCTAGTTTTAAGGAGTATTGAATTTGGATGGGGATGAGGGGTATATGGGATGCCCAAGGAAACTGCAAACACGAGGACAAACTTCTTAGGAACTATGTGCAAGTCCATAGACAAAAAGGTTATCCTGGTGTACCACCTCAGACCCCAGATGAATTTTCCTCTTTTACCAGCTGCCTGAGGGAATTCCTGAACAAGAGGACCCAGAAACTGCCACTTTAGCAAAGCAGCTCCAGCTGAGGAGCTAGTTGGGTTTGCCACCTGACTGTCCTCTCCCCTTATCTGGCCCACGGGGTGCAGGATGACTCACTCAGTCCTCTCCTGTAGGCTTGATGGGTTGGTGGCTGCCTTCCGGCCTTAAGCTGGACTGGCTCTTTCCCTGCTCCTCAGTAGTGATGGGCTGAACACCCCCCCATTTGGTTCGCAGTCGAACATTCGAACCTACCAAAAGTTCGACCGTGAACAGGGGCGGACTGAAAACTCATGGGGCCCCTGGGTAATAGGGGATCATGGGGTCCCTGTGTCCTTGCCCACACTCAAACCACACCCAAAAAAAAGCCTATGAAAGGTACCAGGGGCATCTCATGGGGCCCCCTACTGACCCTGGGCCCTCGGGCACTGCCCGAGAACCCGAATGGTCAGTCCGCCCCTGACCGTGAACTTCGAACAGGGACAGTTTACTGAGCGGTATCTTACCACTCAGTTACTAAAATACTGCATGAGTTATATTGTTCAGTCATGCTGTATTTTAGTAGTGAAACATTCATTAATGTTTCAGCTGTCAGTGGGGTTCCCCACTGACAGCTGAATGTCGAAAAAACATTATTTTTTTTTTAAATTGCGTGGGGGTCCCCCTAAAATTCATACCAGACCCTTATCCGAGCATGCAGCCTGGCAGATTAGGAAAGGGGGAGGACGAGTGAACCACACACCAGGCCACATGCCTCAACATGGGGGGGTGCTTTGGGGGGCTCCTCAAAGTACCTTGTCCCCATGTTGTTGGGGACAAGGGCCTCTTCCCTACAACCCTGGCTGGTGGTTGTGGGGGTCTGCGGGCAGGGGGCTTATCGGAATCTGGAAGCCCCCTTTAACAAGGGGGCCCACAGATCCCGCCCCCCCCCCATGGGAATGAGTATGCAGTACAAGGTACCGTTACCCATTCACAAAAAAAAAAAGTGTAGTGTAAAAAAAATACAGGAGGCAGTCTTTGGCAAGATCTTTATTAAAAATAAAAATTAAAAAAATGTCCCCCGAAGTAGATCCAACATCATTCACAATGCCCACTGCCACCTCCGACCCGAAAAAAGAAAAAAAAATCCACTCTGCCCTTGACGCTGGCTCCCACTGCCTGACAGCTATGCCGCAATGACAGTTCTTAAATAGGGTGATGATGTCACAAGGGGACACGATCACCCCTGCCCCCTTGTGACGTCATCATGCCCTGTGATTGGCCAAAGCTTTGCACTTGACCTTTGGTCAGGTGCAATGTTTTTGCCAATCACAATGCACTGTCAGGGCGCAGTGCATTGTGGGGCGCAGCAGGCGAACAGCCTGCCGAATGCCCATACCATTTGTGTGTTCACACTTACGTTCGACTTGAACATGCAGCCCATCACTACTCCACAGGTGATCCTCTCTCAAGGGAGAACACATGAGCAATGCAGACAGACAAATGTGAACCTAGGCTTAGGGCTTGCTATGTGATGCATGTTTTTGCTGCAGAAAATGCAGGGACAACAACTGTCTTGACAGCTCAGTCTCTGTGCAGGGAACACACAGTGACAACACAGAAGTATTGGATGCCCAGTGACGCATATGTACAGCATATGGATGCTGAAGCCCATCCTTTTGTTACATGGGCAGCAACAGGTTAAAAAAGTCCTACTTTTGGTAACACATGCTGTGTTACAGGGAACTATGGCTTGTTTCTTTCCTATCCTGTTTTTTTTTTACTGCAGAACATAAATCTACTGATCCTATAGATCAAAACAACTTCCGAAATTCAAATCTGTTTAAACAGAGCAAAATAAATATCACGAGGACGAGACACAATGGAAACAGCACAGTCTGAACTTTTCACCACGTCACCAAACAGGACTTTGGAACTATTTTATGGGTGGCACAATGTTCTGTTAGCTAAGCTGACAATCCAACCATTTCAATATCTTGATGTACACACCCAATAGAGAACGGTCCGTCTTTTGCAGTCTTTATAAATTTTGCAAGGTCAGCTTTAATCCCTGAGCAAAGGGTGGAGAGTGAGAAAGTGATTCTGGTGTTGATAACCTCCATAATTCGAGTGTAATCATTTACTGAAGGCTATGTGTTATCTTGGTGTTTCTTATTTAGCCTTCAGTAATCGATCAGACCTTGGGGGAATAAAGGAGAAGATTAGGGTACTTCATTTATAACTTATCCTCTGCTAGTGGTTACAGAGACAGAGCGAGGTGTGTGACTGAAGCAGGGACTTCAGATATGTGATTAACAATGTAATTTATTAACACTAACAATACAAACATAAACGCAGTGCAATACTAAACATAATACAGTGCAAACAAACCCAACCAACCACCCACAGATAACAGTACATACAAGCAAGCGTCGTCAGGCAGGCCGAGTCAATATCAATTGGGCAGGTAGGTACAGGGGGAGCAAGCGGAGAATGGTCGGGGTCACAGGCCAGGTTCAGCAGGTAGCAAGCAGCGTAGTACAGAGGGTCAGGCAGAGGGATGGTCAGGGTCACAAGCCAGGGATCAGAACAGGTAGCAAGCAGCGTAGTACAGAGAGGGTCAGGCAGAGGGATGGTCAGGGTCACAAGCCAGGGATCAGAACAGGTAGCAAAGGAACAGAAACAGGATGCAGGACAGATACAGGGCCCAGGACAAACACAACACCAAGGCAGAGTCTGCAAGTCTGGCCATCCCTTAAATACACCAGTATCATCAGTTCCAGGTGTTAGCTGGCTGAAAGGTTGAGTCTCTGATTGCTGGGAGCACCCGCTGGCCAGCCCTGGTACTGCAGATCAAAAGGCAGGTGAGTCCCACCATTGCTGGCCAGTCCATTCCTGACAGTACCCCCCCCTCAAGGAGCGGCCTCAGGACGCTCCAAACAGTCCTAGCTGGGAAAAAATGTTCCACCGCCCGGGTCTGGTAACTGGCGGGATATCAAAGACTGGCACACCGGGCAGGACTCCGGGCAGCGGTACACCGGGCAGAGGCACATCGGGCTGGACTCCGGGCAGAGGCACATCGGGCTGGACTCCGGGCAGAGGCACATCGGGCTGGACTCCGGGCAGAGGCACACGGGCTGGACTCCGGGCAGAGGCACATCGGGCTGGGCACACCGGGCAGAGGCACATCGGGCTGGACTCCGGGCAGAGGCACATCGGGCTGGACTCCGGGCAGAGGCACATCGGGCTGGACTCCGGGCAGAGGCACATCGGGCTGGACTCCGGGCAGAGGCACATCGGGCTGGACTCCGGGCAGAGGCACATCGGGCTGGACTCCGGGCAGAGGCACATCGGGCTGGACTCCGGGCAGAGGCACATCGGGCTGGACTCCGGGCAGAGGCACATCGGGCTGGACTCCGGGCAGGGCACACCGGGCAGGGGCTGGACTCCGGGCAGAGGCACATCACATCGGGCAGAGGCACCCGGGCAGGGGCACATCGGGCTGGGGCACATCGGGCAGGCCCGGGCAGGGCACACCGGGCAGAGGCACATCGGGCAGGACTCCGGGCAGAGGCACATCGGGCAGGACTCCGGGCAGAGGCACATCGGGCAGGACCCCGGGCAGGGCACATCGGGCAGGACCCCGCAGCAGCACACATCGGGCCCCAGGGCGGAGCGGCAGGGCAGGGGCCCCGGGCGGAGCGGCAGGCACCGGGCCCCCGGGCGGGGGCGACAGGCACGGGCCCCCGGGCGGGGCGACAGGCCTCGGGCCCCCGGGCGGGGCGACAGGGCTCGGGCCCCCGGGGCGGGGCGACAGGCCTCGGGCCCCCGGGCGGGGCGACAGGCCTCGGGCCCCCGGGCGGGGCGACAGGCATCGGGCCCCCGGGCGGGGCGACAGGCATCGGGCCCCCAGGCGGGGCTACAGGCTCGGGCCCTCAGGCGGAGCGGCGGGTGCCGGACCCCCAGGCGGAGCGACAGGCCGGGGGCCCCCCGGGGGCGACAGGCATCGGGCCCCCAGGCGGGGGCGACAGGCATCGGGCCCCCAGGCGGGGCGGGCGACAGGCATCGGGCCCCCAGGCGGGGCGACAGGCATCGGGCCCCCAGGCGGGGCGGCGGGCGCCGGACCCCCAGGCGGAACTACAGGCCTCGGGCCCTCAGGCGGAGCGGCGGCGGGCGCGGGCGCCGGCCCCCGGGTGGAGCGACAGGTCTCGTGCCCTCAGGCGGAGCGGCGGGCGGCCGGGACCCCCAGGCGGAGCGACAGGCATCGGGCCCCCAGGCGGGGGGCCCCCAGGGGCGACAGGCATCGGGCCCCCAGGCGGGGCGACAGGCATCGGGCCCCCAGGCGGAGCGGCGGGCGCCGGACCCCCAGGCGGAACTACAGGTCTCGGGCCCTCAGGCGGAGCGGCGGGCGCCGGACCCCCGGGTGGAGCGACAGGTCTCGGGCCCTCAGGCGGAGCGGCGGGCGCCGGACCCCCAGGTGGAGCGACAGGTCTCGGGCCCCCAGGCGGAGCGACAGGTCTCGGGCCCCAGGCGGAGCGGCGGGCGCCGGACCCCCAGGTGGAGCGACAGGTCTCGGGCCCCCAGGCGGAGCGGCGGGGCGGACCGGGCCCCAGGTCTCGGAGCGGCGGCGGGCGCCGGGCCCCCCCAGGTGGAGCGACAGGTCTCGGGCCCTCAGGCGGAGCGGCGGGCGCCGGACCCCCAGGTGGAGCGACAGGTCTCGGGCCCTCAGGCGGAGCGCGGGCGCCGGACCCCCAGGTGGAGCGACAGGTCTCGGGCCCTCAGGCGGAGCGGCGGGCGCCGGACCCCCAGGCGGAGCGACAGGTCTCGGGCCCCAGGCGGAGCGACAGGTCTCGGGCCCCCAGGCGGGGGGGCGGCGGGCGCCGGCGGGCCCCCAGGTGGAGCGGCGGGCGCTGGACCCCCAGGCGGAGCGACAGGTCTCGGGCCCCCAGGCGGAGGCTCAGCGGGCACCGAGTCACCAGGCACGACAGTGGGCTCCGAGTCAACTGGCATGACCGCTGGCACTAGGTCAGACATTGGATCGTCTGGCTGGACAGCGGGCATCGGGTCACCAGGCATCAGGTCATTTGGCTCGACAGCGGGCACCGCGTCATCTGGCAAGGCAGTGGGCTCCGAGTCAACTGGTATGACCGCGGGCACTGGGTCAGACATTGGATCGTCTGGCTGGACAGCGGGCATCGGGTCACCAGGCATCAGGTCATTTGGCTCGACAGCGGGCACCGCACCGCGTCATCTGGCAAGGCAGTGGGCTCCGAGTCAACAGGCACGACAGTGGGCACCGGGTCATCAGGTACCGGATTGTCTGGCTCGACAGCAGGCATCGGGTCACCAGGTATGACAGCGGGCACTGGGTCACCAGGCATCAGGTCATTTGGCTTGCCAGCGGGCACCGCGTCATCTGGCAAGGCAGTGGGCACCGGGTCACCAGGCATTGGATCGTCTGGCTCGACAGCGGGCATCGGGTCACCAGGTATGACAGCGGGCACTGGGTCACCAGGCATCAGGTCATTTGGCTCGCCAGCGGGGCACACCGCGTCATCTGGCAAGGCAGTGGGCACCGAGTCACCAGGTACGACAGCGGGCTCTGAGTCAATTGGCACGACAGCGGGCACCGGATCAGGTACCGGATCATCTGGATCAACAGCGGGCATCGAGTCAACTGGCCTAATAGGATCGTCAGGCTGGATCAGTTCATCATGCTGGGTAGAGGCATCAGGCTGCTGAATGCCGGCGTCCGAGTAGAGGCATAGAGGCTCAGGGCCGAGTAGAGGCTTCAGGCCGAGTAGAGGCTTCAGGCCGAGTAGAGGCAGGCAGGCCGAGTAGAGGCATCAGGCCGAGTAGAGAGGCAGGCCGAGTAGGCCGAGTAGAGGCATCAGGCCGAGTAGAGGCATCAGGCCGAGTAGAGGCATCAGGCTGAGGCTGAAGAGAGGCATCAGGCTGAGTAGAGGCATCAGGCTGAGAGAGGCATCAGGCTGCGAGTAGAGGCATCAGGCTGAAGAGAGGCATCAGGCTGAGTAGAGGCATCAGGCTGAGTACAGGCATCAGGCCGAGTAGAGGGCATCAGGCTGAGTAGAGGCTTCAGGCTGAGTAGAGGCTTCAGGCTGAGTAGAGGCTTCAGGCTGAACCACGGAAGGCAGGCTCACCGGTTTGGATACTGGCAGGATGGTATTGGTTGGAAAGAATTTTCGCTTTTTTTGGTTTTAACTACTGGAGCACTGCAAGTAAACGCAGGTCTGCAAACGAATGGAGCAGCTGGAGACAGAGAAGAACTGGAGGATGGAACAGGAGAGGGAGCAGTTGCTACAGAGGGCTTTTTTACAGGGTTAAAGGCAGGATAGGTGCAGCGAGTGGGAACAGGGTACTGACATGCGGTAGATAGCCAAGTATACTGGGCTGTAACTGGAGGAGCTGTTGGGAATACAGGAGTAGAGTTAGAAGCAGGACTGGGTTTTTGTAAGCTGACTGAGGCTGGGTGCAACAAGTCTGTCCATGTCTGCAGTATGGGTTGAACAAAGCTGAGCTTACACAAAGCCTGTCTGGTCAATGACTGCACTGCGTTTATACAATCTCTTAGTGTCTGTGGTGAACATGTGGAATAACGCTCCAGAAAGTAACCCACATCATCCTCTAATAACCACACCAGGGACTCTACCTGGTCTGCACTAAATGGTGGCAAAAATTCATCCCTGCATTCGGGGGTACCAGATGAAACCAACTCTGCACAAACCTCAATCAAAGGCTGCACCTCAGAGAACTCTGTGCCCTGATCTACTAGAACATGAGCGAGCCGTATACATTCTAGCAGTTCATCCCGGGTATACTCCTTCAGAGTTTGATAAGCATACTCCCTGTCATCAAACACTAGCAGATATAAATACGCAACCTCATCCAGATCCATCCTTCCCATCAACAAGCCAAGATGGCTTCCCTGTGCAGCCACTTCTGGTCAGGATTGGCCTTGGTGTAATGTCAGGGCTCCCAGGTATGACCAGAGGTGTGTGACTGAAGCAGGGAAACGCAGACTTCAGATATGTGATTAACAATGTAATTTATTAACACTAACAATACAAACATAAACGCAGTGCAATACTAAACATAATACAGTGCAAACAAACCCAACCAACCACCCACAGATAACAGTACATACAAGCAAGCGTCGTCAGGCAGGCCGAGTCAATATCAATTGGGCAGGTAGGTACAGGGGGAGCAAGCGGAGAATGGTCGGGGTCACAGGCCAGGTTCAGCAGGTAGCAAGCAGCGTAGTACAGAGGGTCAGGCAGAGGGATGGTCAGGGTCACAAGCCAGGGATCAGAACAGGTAGCAAGCAGCGTAGTACAGAGGGTCAGGCAGAGGGATGGTCAGGGTCACAAGCCAGGGATCAGAACAGGTAGCAAAGGAACAGAAACAGGATGCAGGACAGATACAGGGCCCAGGACAAACACAACACCAAGGCAGAGTCTGCAAGTCTGGCCATCCCTTAAATACACCAGTATCATCAGTTCCAGGTGTTAGCTGGCTGAAAGGTTGCAACAATTTGTTTACAACATCCCTGGGGTTCTCTCCCCATGTGCATTTACCTGACTACCCCAGCTTCTCTACAGACAGGCTCAAGTTGTATGCTAGACTCCCTGGGGCCGCATGCAGCCCACAGGACACCCCTGACGTAGTGCAAGGGCCTGCTTGATGGGATACAGAGTGATTGTATAGATGGTGTGTCCTCATATTATATAGTTTTGGTAAATCTAAAGGAGATCATACAGCATTTGTACAATCAGAGTGTATGGCCAATTTATACACCTAAAATTACCTAGTTGCCTTTCAGTGTCATTAATTGTTAACGGCTTACCAAACACAGAAACAAGCACACATTTTGCCACATTAAAAAACAGGTAACAAATGCAGCAAAACGCACAGTAAAAAATATGCAACTCGCGCCACGCCAATGTGTTCCCATGAGCTACTTTGCCACATGTTGATAGCCCATTGAAATCAACAGGCTGCCCTATGTGTGTCACTGGAAAAATGAGCCAAAAAACATGCGCTCCTGCTACTCTAGGTGTGAATGGGGCCTGAAAGTGAAATTGGTTATTTACACAAGAACAATGAGGCTCCATTTACATCTGTGTGTTTCGAACGCATGGCAAATGGCTTTGCCATGCATTTCAGAAACACGCTGCAAGTGTGCATAGTGTTTGTGTTGTCATGGGGTGCCTACAACAAAGTGGTTGTGTAGGCACCCCACACCAAAAAGTGCAATAATTGCACCGTGCTCAGCTCGAAAATTTCTGGAGCTTTTCTGCAATGATTGTTGCGTGTATGGCAGCCTGCTCAAATGAATGGGCTACCCTATGCGTGACGAGTGAAAACGCTCCAAAACAAACACATACGGAAATGTGAGTTTTTGCTACGTAGGGGTGTGAACAGGGGCTAGCAAGTGAGTGTCTCCATACACTCCCTCCTATGTACTTGTATAAAGATGGCCACACACTATGCAATCTGACTGTATAATCTCTATACAATTTTCATTTTTTCATAAAGTGACAAAAAAAATTAAATGACCTGTGGATGAGGTAAGTGAGAGAAAAGCACATTGGGAGGGCTGGGCCAGAAATGGCATTGGAAAACACTTCTATTTATTATGAAAAGTGAAATTCTGCCCAAAAAGGTGAACTTATCCTTTAACCCTTTGGCGCTGGTGCCATCTGGCCCTTTAAGGGTTCCAGAAGCCGGGAGGCAGGATGGGGTTTTATGGTCATGTGACTGCATGATTCGCTGTCACGGAGGTCACATGATCGGGAAAGGTCCCAATCGAAAGAGGAGATCGGGACCTTTCCGCGAGTACTGAACGTGTGCTGGGAGTGCGCAGTGCGCGGTCTCTCAGCACATATGATTTTTTTAACCACTTGACCTCCAGAGGATTTACCCCCTTTAATGACCAGGCCTCTTTTTGCTACTCGGCGCTTCACTAATTCAACTGATAATTGCACGGTCATGCAATGCTGCACCCAAACGAAATTTACGTCCTTTTTTTCACACAAATAGAGCTTTCTTTCGGTGGTATTTGATCACCTGTGCGCTTTTTATTTTTCACGCTATAAACAAAAAAAGGAACAAAATTTTGAAGAAAAATAATATTTTTTTACTTTCAGCTATAAAAAATATATAGTAAACTCAAAGTTGGTTATAAATTTAGGCCAAAATGTATTCTGCTACATGTTTTTGGTAAAAAAAAAAAGATCCCAATAAGTGTATATTGATTGCTTTGTGTGAAAGTTATAGTGTCTACAAACTTAGGGCAAAGATACTGCAATTTACGCCATTTTTTTGCTATACAGCGCTGCGCTAGTTTTAAAGGACAATTGTGCGGTCATGCAATACGGTACATAAATGAAATTTACATCCTTTTTTCCACAAATTGAGCTTTCTTTTGGTGGTATTTGATCGCTTGTGCGGTTTTTATTTTTTGCGCTATAAAAAAAATAGGTTGACAATTTTGAGGAAAAAAAAAACAATATTTTGGACTTTTTGCTATAAAACATGTCCAGTAAAAAAAAAATTTTAAAAATCAAATTTAGTCATAAATTTCTGCCAAAATGCATTCTGCGACATGTCTTTGCTAAAAAAAAAACCCAATACGTGTAAATTAATTGGTTTACGTGAAAGTTATAGCGTTTACAAATGGCGGGAAAGATACTGGATTTTTTGGTTTTTTTTATACTAATAATGGCGGCGATCAGCGACTTATGGCAGCGATCAGTGACTTATGGCGGCGATCAGTGACTTATGGCGGGACTGCGGCGGACATTCTGACATTGGGGAGTACTGACTTGGAGTCACTGACATCCCCAGTGACACCAATACAGCGATCAGTGCAAAAAAAAAACACTGACAATGTACTAATGGCACTGGGAGGAAGGGGTTTAAGTTTATTATTCAGTGAAGGTTTAACTGTGTG